CATTAGAGCCTCCATGCGACCTTTATACAACCTTCACCCCTTCGACCCTAGACCCGTACCTCCATCTCCGGGACACTCATATGTCAACTTCTATTATCATCCACTCTCGTCTTTAACCTTCCCATGTCCTTCCTAATCTCCTTGACTCTGGGCGGTAACCTCTTCATCAGAGCCACTTGTTTTTTTACCAAATTGCAATCTGTAAAATATCACATCAAATTATTTCAAGGGAATTATTAAACTGTACGCATGGAACTCTCCCTGCAGCTGAGCATGCTACGTTTCTGGCTGCTTGTCTCTCCCAGGGGTCTAGCAGTGGCTGGGCTGATGAAAGGTCCTTTGGGCTTTGTGGGCCCCACCTGTGTTTTAAAGCAATGGGACAAATTGGACACAATATTCTTCAAATATATGGATGGCCCACAATGTTACGCATATGACAGAATTACAATGGAAGTACTTACAATAACAGCAAAATCCAGACACACCCAAACAGTAGGCAGTCAGACGCAAAACATGTCTGCAGGTCAAGCAGCAGAAAAATGTTAACCAAAAAAAAAAAAACATTAACTTACACACGCAAGCTAATGACAATAAAAACGAAGCCAGGAATATTACGGGAATGTTCACAACTCCACTATTTCACGTTGCCAAGAAAAACTCAGTAAAACTGACCAAAATCACTCGGCTTAGTCCAGCACAATCAGCACAGGAAATTTTTCCTTTTCATTGAAATAATACATCAGCCGGTGCATTAAAGATTTCCCAGATGTGTGCAGTTGGTAAAGACAAGAAAATCCTGCAACTATTAAACTAACAGCAGGCGAGGAGCTGGAATGCAGCAAAGCAAGTGTTTCTCCAAAGAACCTCACATGTGTGACCTTCAGATCTAGGAGGGACGGAAGATGATGCGACATTACTCAATCATTACTCGGCACACAGAGCTGCCTATTGTGACAAAGCATCAGTCTGAGTCACAACGGTGATCTTACCACTGTATCATCAGCATAACTTTAGACCTTAACCTGACAGTAACGAGTGACGTTAGGGAAATCGGAGCAGGATTATCGAGTTATCTAAATGACATCATCCAGACAGGTTCATCCAATCACTACGAAGTGTTCTGTCAGGTCTGATGCGGTCTTTTTATTCTACGTTAAAATCAAATCACGCCAAAAACCTAGCGATGTTTTAGAATTGAAGTAAGCAATGTTCTTGACAATACATTATATGGCCGCTCGGGAAGTTGTTCGCTGCTACTGCTTCGAGCAGATGGACGATAAATCTTCCCAACTCCCACAGTAAAATCCAGTAAAAGCAAACCAGGAGTAAGCATTTTCCATGGCGTATGCTGATAGAGGAGCCTCAGCTGTTTACTTTGTGGCATTGCTGCTGCTGCTCCTCCTGCTGCTGATCCACCAGAAGTGTGTGACATAAGGTTTTGAAAGTGAAGGCCACTCCTGCGGCCGTAGTGTTTGCATTTGCTTACATAGTGAATATGTTTAATTGGTGTGCGTCGGTTTCAAGTGAATTCCACGTTGCTGTCGCTAATTTAACGGCAGGTCTGATTCAACACCGGGTTATGACTACGGTGAATACAATGTCATCAAGCAATTATTTGCCTGAACAACTTCACCTAAAGTTATGGGACTGCTGAAAGGCTTGAAGAGAAGACGTCTGACTTTTGCCTTCTGACACAGGAAGTGTCCAGACCACAGACATTGCAGTAGACACGGTGTTTCCGGTGCATAGCGACACTGCGCTTCATCACATCAAATAGGACAGCGCTCGTTTCCGCAGCGGCGTTAAACTGATTTAACTATTTTGACACAGTTGTGTTGGTTGAAATAAACACACACACAAAGGTATACATTGTAGGACCTGCTATAAAATGTTGTACATTCAGTCCATTAATCAGCTTTTGGCTCAGAATAACACAGCACTGATGGAGAAACCGGTACCATTTAAAATTAACGATCCTCGGGTGCAACGGTGCAGCCTGACTGGATGAGCCCTCTGCACAGGTTTCCCCCTCCAGGCAGTGTCATTATGGGTTCATCTGTCTACACTATCAGTCCAGTAAGAGAGACGCAGTAATCCAGTCAGGTCTAACGTCCTAATGAAGTGACTTTCTGTGTGCTGGTGTGCATCCTTCTGTGTCTGTGCGTTCATGTGTGTTCGGTTTAACTCCAGTCACGAGTGAATCCCGATGGTGCGTTACAGTAGCGTGAGAATGACTGGGGATCATGTGTCCATCAGTCCGCAGCAAAACGAGTCAGGTTTCTTAATCAATGGTAATCTAACATAAACAAAGACAGAGAAAAAATGACCGCTGTCTCTTGTCTTTCCCTCGCAACAAGGCACGATGTAGATTTGAGTTTTGAGGCTATATCTGTTCCTCGTTCTGCCTCCCTTTCGTAACTCAAATCACAGCTGAAACTTCATTCATTCTCGAAGAAGCTATTAGTACAGAAATGGGGAGGTGGAGGGAGAGAGAGAAAGAGAGAGAGAGAGAGACCAGACACAAGAACAGTGCACTGATAATGGTTTACTGATGTCATTAAGCCTAATAAAGCCACTAAACAGCATCCTCCACTCCACAACCACAAAAACAGCCATCCCTTTATTTCTGCGTACGTGAATAAGTGCGGTATGTAAAATGGAACGTCTTCGAAGACGCATTACAGATAAATCTACCTCAAAGTTGCATAAAACATTTTCCACATTAGCAACTTTTAAATTGCCAATACCGATACACAGCAATACAATTTTCCTAAATTTTCCCAAAGGGAAATCAATCTATCTATATATAATCTGTATTACCAGTATGACTGGCTAAGTAAATATAGAGCAGAGCTTCACAGTACAGAGTGCATTACACCTCTAATATCTACATTGTCTCTGAATTCACTAAGCAAAGCCAGGTTTTCTTCATTTTCTTTAGATTAAAAAAAGTAGAAAAGATGGTGTGCACTGAGAACATACAGCAGGCAAGCACCGCTGGACATACCCAACTTATCCACCGTCCATTCCTCAATAAACATGTTAAATCTTGGAACGATTGGGTGAGAGAGATGGTCGCATCTACTTAACTAATGGGAAGTTTTCCCGGATAATTGAATTTTGTACATAGGCCTCCTCATTATGTGAAAGCCAGAGACCCACTGGCACTAACTTTCACTTCATGTCCTCAAATCATGAATGTTGACCGTCATGATATCTTGATGGGAAAAAGTCAAATTTATTATTTATAAATATATATTATTTTTCCCAAAAAAAAAAAAAAAAAAAGACGCGCCGTCAACTGTTGTCCACTTTGATCATTATTTACAGCTTGACAGTGTGTCCTCCATTTGTAGAAACCGGTCAGTTGTTGTTCTCAGCATGAATCTGTTAACCCCCTTCCTATCTGCCACCCACAGTGTCAGCAGTCACCACTGTGGGTGGCAACCTCAAAGTGACACGTCCCTTCCCCCCTTGCTTCCCCCCCATCCTCCTCCCCCCCACTCCCCTAACGCTGTGTGTGTGTTTCTAAACAACAGGTGCCTCAACCAGAAGTGACTCATGGAGCGAAATCACATCAAAAGTACACGTCACAGGACCTTTTGACAGATGTTTTTCAAAACCTTGCCACGCTGTAACCCACGATTAGCGAAACTTCGTCTATGGTATTTAATTTTTTTTTTACCCTGCCCTAACTCTTGGCCTTTACTTAAAAAAAAATACCAACCATACAGAAACATTTTAGATTTCTCAGTGAGTCCCTCTGCACGTGCTGTATGTGCGAGGGGGTCCACGCACGCACACTGAGTCAAAGCGTGGCTTCTGGTGATTACCCAAAGTTGTAACTGACACACTGCTGGCGACGGCGATCCTATCAGAGGGAGGCAGAAGTTGTCCCTCCCACGGTGGACGCCTGTCAATACTTTACTTGCTCGGACTTTGCCAGTAAAATAAAATGAAATGGTGTGAAACTGACTGGAAACTCACTGACTGAGTGCGTCGTCAATCGAAATCCCCCTCTAACTCAACTTGAAATGAAGACAATGCAGACGCCAAACATCCTTCAGTTGAAAAGGGGGGCTTAAAACCTCATACAAGGACCAGACAATGTCTTATGTGCTATTGTTATACACACACAGAGACACATAAATCATCAAGCAAGTCTTCTGACAACACATCATTCATCATTTACACAGTGTCAAGGGCAAACAATTAGCTTCAACTCAAGGTGAAGGTTTAATTCCTACCGTGTTGTAGCCAGCAGGTTCTTGTCCGTCTGTGATTAGCTCCCGCTCTCCTTTAGGGTTAACTCTCCTGAACCGCCGCCTGGACCTGCGCTGCGACCCCTCTCTCTGCAGAAAACTGTCGTCCACTTCGCTGCCGTTATCCACCTGTAATACAGAGTCAACACGTTCCTCAGAACAGCAGCTTCTTTGGAAGTTATGGCCACAGCTTTCAGGCACGTGGTCACAGCCAACAGACTGCTCACGGCAGGTCGACTCTAAAGGACAAGGTTCAGAGCAGCTGCGTCTGAGCAGTTTGCCATCTTGATCATTTGAAATGAGCTTCCGTTGGGAAATTTCCAGGCTCGAGCTATCTGTTTCTGATTTCTCACATTCCGAATTCCGAGACTCGTCATCGGCGGAGTTGTGAAGCTTTGAGTTGCGATCTTTAGGTGTGTTCCACGGATTGTTTGGTTGCACTGCCTCGTGCTCTGGAGCTTCACAGATCTGGCTCTGCTCTTCCACCGGCTCTTGGTTAAACATCCAGTTCCTCCACAGCACAGAGAGCCGATGCCAGCGGAGCACACTCATCCTGAGGTCGAGACAGAACCAGACTGACACATAAAGGCAGGAAATACCACGATGGAAGCGATGGAAAAATACACCAGAAGAGCACTCCAGTAGAAAGAGAACTTGAAAGAATTACATCCAAATTTTAGAAAAAGTTCCACAGTCCTGAGGGATCTTGACACATTCCATCCCGTCAGGCAAGGATCCAGTGGAAAAGTGAGCACAGAACTAAATCAAGGGACCAATCCGGAGATTGGAGTGGCAGAAAATTGAAGGTTTCCTGTTGTATTTGACTCAGACTAAATGAGCGCTGTCCGTTTCTGAGGGCAGAAGAGTTGACAACCGAGTTCAGCTGCTCAACACGTTGCATACTCACAGAATACCTCACATGATGGCCTGTTCGTTCTCTCTCTCTCTCTCTCTCTCTCTCTCTCTCTTTGACACGCGCACAGAGCACACACTGAGCCTACGTTTCCTCCAGGAAACTGTAAAAAATACACAAATATCCTCAAGAGGCGGAAAAAAGAAAACAGCACAGAGCAAAATCCGGCCATAGATTTGAGTTATACGCAGTCGTTTGTGCCGTTTCTTTAACCAGAAAAAAATTGTTTTGCTTAGGTTTTTTTTTTCAATTGCTTTATAAAATCAATTATTATGTAAAAGCTATCAAAAGCTTTTTATTAATGATAAAAATAATACGTAAATTATTTTATTGGTTCGTTTTCCCATGTTGTTTTTACTATTTTTTACCAGTAAATTATTTTATTGGTTCGTTTTCCCGTGTTGTTCTTACCATTTCTTATTGTGTTAGAAAAATTTATTAAGTAAAAATATTTTGAAAATGATTATCAACTGTAGGAATAAAAAATATTTTGGCATCCTACGTAAAGTTCTGATTCTGTTCTTTCACTCCCTAACAGTACGTTGTTGTTGGTCACTTTTTTAAATTTTCTGTCACTGTGAAACATGCTTGGGCCGGGGGAGCTGCACAGTACAACTAGTGTATTCTGGGTAATGCCCTGTGCAGGACTGTGGGACAACAGCACAGAGGTCAGTGAAGGAACGGAATACTAAAGAATTGTTGTACAGTAGAGTAAAACAGACCACTATTGATACCGATGGGATCCTGCCTGGAGCAAAAAAGTGACATTGTGCCTCGTTCTAATGGGCCTCGTGGGACAGACAGCCGGAAATTCTTGGTAGGACGGTGGAGGGATGGAAGTGTTTCCAACTTTTATCCTGATCCTGTGACCAAGTAACAACATACAGTCCATGCCTCTGCATCTGCCTGGATGAATGTGTCCTCTGTCCATCTCATGACCATAAGTCCACTGGCCCATGGATAATTGATGCCTTTGTGTTTGTAACTCCTGACGTGGACAGGAATCAAGATAACAGGTGAGAAGAAAAAGAAATAGATAAATAAAGGCCTCAAAGGCTTCAAATCCTTTCAATGCCCATGTTTGTTTTTTTCCACTAAACCTGAAGACTGTGAAACCAGTGACGTCAAAGTCAAAGTTTTCATATGTGTAAAAGAGTCTTTAAAGTAATGGTGAAGTCATTGAGACATGTATGAAATATCGGATAGTAACTATATATTTTCCTCCCTAAGAAAAAAACATTATATTAGAAGCTGAACTTTCTGTAAATGTTTTAGAATCTGTCAGCCGTTATTAAAGTCGAACCTTTGTTTCGCTGGCAAAATTAAATTATAAATATTATTTGTTATATTACTATATTGCTGCAGATTCATAATTTTGTTTTTCATGATTTACTGAAAATAAATCACATATATATGCATAGTAAAAAATAAAATGGCCAGTACACCTTCCAAAAATATTCTATATATATATATATATATATCTATATATATATATATATATATGTATCTATATATATATATAGATATATATATATATATATATATGTATATATATATATATATATATGTATATATATATATATATATATGTATATATATATATATATATATATGTATATATATATATATATATATGTATCTATATATATATATAGATATATATATATATATATATACACATACATATATTTAGAGCAAAAAACAGAAGCACTCTTTCATCTCAAAACAATGTCAGCTCAGGACATAACTAAACTGAGTGTGTGTTTGAAAGGCCTGCCTGCAGTCCAGGTCTTTGTCCTAGAAAGACTTTAGATCCACTGATGTTTTTTCAACAAGACGTTCTTTCTTACCCAACCTTAAGCATCTTCACTTTAAAAAATGTTAAAAATCGTAATTGAACCAATCGCGACGTCCAGACAGCAGGATAACGATAATGTCTATAACACAGCTGGTCTGCCAATGTGATTAGCGCTGTCCTGATTTTTTCTTTTTTTTTTTACTCTGTTCATTCATTTCTCACTCCTCTCCTCCTCCTACTACTTCATTCCCACACACACTTGCACCCACAGAAACACAGCCCCACCCTGTCGGTCCATGAATGTCACTCCTGTCCATCTTGTGACCAGAGTAATGACGACAGCCACAGATCACACTCCCTCCAGTATTCCCATGGTCCTCATTAGCTGATTGGCTGCAATGCAGCGTGGCTACACCGCAGTCCCTCTGCTCTACCGTGTGTGTACGTGTGTGAGTGTGGATTTGTGGTTGTGACAGATTCTTGCCAATTAGTGTGTTTTCTTTTCTATTTGGCAAAGAACTTGTTCTTTGTATTTTCCGAATTTTTCTGCAGCATGTTTTTTTTTTCTTCACTTCGATACTTGATCATCACCAGCACGCACCATACGGAGACACAGAGAGCATAGAAACGACAGTAAATTTGCGAAAAAAACTTTTTAAAAAATCATTTAAAAAAAATAGAAGTCAGCTTATGGTGGATGATAAAAGCAGCTTAAACTGTGAGCGTTCGTGATTCAACTACTCACAAGCTCAGAGGTTTCTTATTAAACAAGGATATGATTGGCTTTGTAATGTAGAATATTGGTTTGAAATTTTGAAATTTAAAATCGTGTTGATTATGTAATGTTAACTGAAACATCCAAATGAGATATGTTTATACTATTAGTTTGTTTATATTACAGATTTTTCTGACTATTTTTTTTCCCATAAAATCAATGGACTCAAATCACTTTTTGATGATACCTGACTTGACAAATTCCAAATTGAAAATATTCAAACACAATGATACCACCAGTTGACACCATCAACTGATGTCCATTTTGTGAAAAATGAAAAAATATATATATACACAAACTCACATCTTACAATATACACAATACGTGACAATTATTTAAATAATGTTTCTGCTATAGTACATGTCGAGAACTATGCACTGAAATACTGCAAACTCACAGCAAATAGTCCCAGTAAGACAAAATGAGGCACTGCCCTCATTCCTCATTCCTCTTCAATGTTTAACTAAAGCCTCATCAAGACAAGGAGAAGACAGGAAGTTCTCCATCCGTGCCTTCCAATAACACCTCTCTTTAACGTCAGCAAAACTAGTTTTGGTTTCATCCGTCACACACCTTTTCAGCCTTTAAATCCTATCTTTGGCTGAGGAGCCATATAGGAAGGATCACACAATCACACCTGGAGCATCATCGATGACACCACTCCCTTTTTCCTGCAGCAGTAACTTCTTATCGGACCCACAGGGCTACTTCAGGATTGAGTGGCTTCCTGGAAGCACACCCCCTTGTTCTAAATGTCTGCACCTTTCATTAGCTACAACAGCCCATATAAGTGACAGAGCACAGTACAGGCTAAGAAAATAAGAACTTATTCTGTTGTTTCAGCTGCTGTAATATAGTACAGTACGGTTTTAGCTTCTCAGTGACAGCACGTTGGTGATATCTTGGACAAGATAACATGCTACAAAGTTAGCCATTAGTTAGCCGTTCATTCGAACAACAAACTCATTTATAGGTGCAAGCTACAGTACGCCACCTTGTGACACTATGAGTGTCACAGATGCAGCTTTGACACCGCCTTGTTGTAAATTGAATGCATTGTCGTGGTCCTTTAGACATAGTGATGATGCAATGGGCGAAAAAAAAAGATTTCCTTTGCTGCGGGATTCACATTTTTAGGGTGTTTCGTGACTTCAGTTGCAATTATTTAACGACCTTTGTATTTAAAAATACATTACTTTCACTCCTTCGGACAAAGGCGTTTTTGTTATCCTGTCTATGAGGGTGATATAATGTTGTGTGTACAAATAAACAAGGCCAAAGTTTAATGTAATGAGAAGAGAACTGACGTCACCCTGTCACTGATTTCATTATATGGTTGTTAGCTAAAAGCACAGTATGTTCTCACAACAGTGTACATGTTTTGATAAGCATAACAGTCTACCATACGGTATATTAGGATTTTTACCTTGTATTTCTATGTTATTTGGTCAATTTTCTTCAACATATTTTGCCACTCTGAATATCAAATGTCTTTGGCCAAAGATGAAGGAAATGGGAGAGAAAATGGGGGGCCACATGAAAGAGCAAAAGAGGATGGGGTACAACTCGGACATCAAATAAAAGATCGCAAAAAAATGCATAAAATCAAAGGGAAGAGCAGGATGGGAGGGTCCAAAGAGAGTTGCCAAGGACACGTTGTGAAAAACAAAAAAGGAAATGGGACGATAGAGAACAGTGTTTTTTACTCACCACAATCATTTCTGATGGCTCCAGAGTGATGCATTCACAGCCCCGTCTGCCCCCGAGTTGCTTGCCAAAACTGCAGAGTAAACATGAGTACATGAGGTGTAAGTTTAACAGGGAAACAAACTGGGTGCATTACACAGCATACAAAGTTTATTGTCACGCTGACAGCGTACTCATATTAACTCTCTCACGGCAAAGCAGTACTAACGATCACATTGTTATATTCTCAAGAAGTGTGCAAATGAGACCCAAGATGTGCTCGGCAAAAATCATGCACACACATCTGTGCCTAACAAAGAACACATTAAAGGACGAAGGTTTTTATAAAACTCCAACTCAGGAGAGCTCTTACTTTCAGTGCAGCACACTTTTTTAAGATGCCCTTGAGGGAAACGCAACTCACGGAATGCAATATTTCAAAACCCAGTTTTAATAAGGCAGTACTATATGCTGTCCCGTACATATACAGTACACCACGTTGTATATCTGTAAACAACCTTCGGCGCCTACATAAGAGACACTGGTCCTAAAGAATATTTGTTTCAGTTTTTGTTACGTCATTTGGGCAGAGACAGAATCTTCCCTTATTTGCTGTTGGATATTGTTCCTCTGATCCTGCTCATCTTAACACCACACCGGAGTGCATTTCACAGACAGAACACATGAACCGGTGAACATACTGAGGCAGGCTTTTAGGCACTGGAACGTTTATCACACCTGATGGACAGCCCCGATAAGATCCTACAGCCAGCTAATTGCTTTTACAGTTTAAAATGGGCCGGTGATAAAAAGCTGTCCACACCACAGTATGTACAAATGACCTAATTCTGGATTCAGTTGTCAGGAGCCGAGACCACCTGACTTCTGAGGCAGAACAGAAGATGTGCTTTACTGTACTTTAGCTTTGTTCTCTACTGAAGGACTAGCATAGCGTAGCTTTGTTTCGAAAGAATCTTTGCTAAAGGATGTTTTTTTCTTGTGTACGTTCTTTAAAAAAAATAAGAAAAAGAGAGAAGTAAGAAACACATTAGAATTATATATATAACAAAATAATTTAAAAA